CTACCAGTTCAGAACTGGTTTTTAAGATACGAATTTTAATGTCTTCACTTCACTTTATAACACATTTTAATCAATTCCACTCACATTTTTCGTATTTATCGACAATTATTTTTTTATTTGCTAATAAATAATTTACTTTTACTCACACACATTCGTTGTAAGGTCAAAATGTCAACTTTCAAAGCGTATTGCATATGAAACGCCTATAAATATGCTACACATTACGAGTATATAGCTTATATTGACCATAATGGCGGTAATAATGCATTAGCGGAGACTTTATAAAACACTGACATTGAATTCTCATTTGTGGTTTGACTTTATTGCGATTTTGTCATAAATTAATATTTATGAAATAATCAATTTTTTTTTATTTTTGCTTCATACATTAATGGTGGCTGCCAAGTGCTCTGACGTGTGCGAAGAGAGTTAAAAATGTTAAAAAATTATGACAGGGCTTTGGACAGCCTGTTGTTGTCAGGCACTGGTTTGGATGTGTAAAAACGTGTATTTTGAGATTTTTTTATTAATGAACTGTTCACCGCTGCACCAAAAAAAAAATGTTTAAGAACGAAAAATGTAATGAAATGGACAGTTTCAAGACGCCGCCGAGCGACTGACGATTCTATTCCTTTTTTTTAATTAATTAATTAATTTTCATGACAGAATGATATTGAGCAAGAGGTGCAGAGGTGTTCACGCCGGTCTGGAAAGTGATCGAAATCTTGAAGCTCCACTTAATACTTCGCATTGCACTGATATCAGGACAACTTCACATGCTCATGAAACTCACTGATCCACGAGCCATATAGAGGAGAACGAAATAGAATTCACTGAAAAGTCCCCAAATTTTTCTCAATTAAGTTACTATTTGTTACTCATCAAGAAGTAGAACAGAAGACATTCAAGCTTACAAACCACTTATGAGTACGTTATGACTATGATATTCAATTTGTTAACGAAGAATAGCAAGAAAATTCAAGAGTCCCGAAAACATTAACAGCGAAGATCTACAGACGATGGACTGATCACTAAGTTCTACTATCAGACATTGAGGGCCTCGTTTTTCAGTCACTGTTGCTGAGCTGGAACATTAATTACCCATGCGTTCGAGAATAATTGCTGGAACTTCATGACGAAAACTGCAAATTTGTAAAATATAAAGTAGAAGCTATGCAGCTGGAAGCTGTCTCCCTCAACCATTTGTTCTCTCTCTCTCGCTCTTTCTCTCTCTCTCTCTCGTTTTTTCTCTCTCTCTCTCTCGCTCTTTCTCTCTCTCTCTCATTCCCTGTCTCTGTCGTTCTTTCTCTCTCTCTCTCTCTCTGTCTCTCTCTCTCTTCCCCCCTCTCTCTCTATGTCTCTCTCTCCCCTCTATGTCTCTCTCTCCTCTCTATCTCTCTCTCTCTCTCTCCCTCTCCCTCTCGCTCTCCCTCTCCCTCCCTCTCTCTCTCTCTATCTCTCTCTCTATTTCCCTCTCCCTCTCTCTCTCTCTCTCTTTCTCTTTCTCTCTTTCTCTCTTTCTCTCTTTCTCTCTTTCTCTCTTTCTCTCTCTCTCTCTCTCTGCCTCTCTCTCTCTCTCTCTCTCTCGCGCATTTATATCTAACATTGAGTAATAAAATGAGCCAGAGAGCCGCACCACAAGCTGTGGCAAAGGAGGAGCTCCTTCTACTCCATGAATCTCATTTAATTCTAGCACTAGCACATTTAATTCTAGCACATACCTAAGGTTTTTCCAGTGTGCAAAGAAGGCTACCGGAATAAAAATTACTTAGTTAAATCCCTGTAAATCCGACTATTCTAAACCTTTTGAGCCGAGCCCATCGAAACAACTATTTCACTAGACATCTCTCTAGATGAACTGTTATAGAGTAGGATTGCTTGCCACAAGCAGAGATATAAGACCGCTACAAAAACTTTTCAAGCAACTAACAAATAGCAAGCTCTAGCCAGCAGTACCAAGTAACAGTAGCAAACGGATAATAAAATAAAAAACATTTTAATCCAAAAAAATCCATATACATATGTATATATATGCTCGTCTTCATACTCATTCACCTCTTAGGTATATCTACAGCATAAGCAATACCGAAGACAATAAGATTAAATGCCAGACAATAGTTAAATTTATACATACCACACAAACTTTCCTCAGCAAACCCTGAACAACCGAGACTAACCCTGCCTTCTAACACACAAACCCAAAACAAGGTAGGCATTGTGGCGGCATTTAAAGTAGCTATTATAAATAATTTCACGCATACAAACAGTCTGAGAAGTGCAGACACTGTTGTTCCGTTCCGTTATACCGAATACACACTTCCCACCATGCAGCTCACCTGTTTGGCTTGCATTTGTGTGTGCTCTTGTCATGAATAGAGTCTATTTGGCAGAAGGAAAAGTTTTTAAACAAAAACCATTTTCATCAAACTGGTGAAATGAATATACAAAATAACTGTAATGTTAGGAAAGTGTTAGATAGAGGGTGAGTGAGCGTAGTTGTTGTTGTTGTTGTCTAGTTAGCTAACCTGCTGTCTGTTTGTAAGGCTCATAGTCAGCAAACGCAGACCAATGGTATTTCGGCTTAGAAATTTCTCACTGAATGAAAATGAAATTATGCGAATAATTAAATTTTCACAAAAGAATTAAATAATAAATAATAATTGCAAATTAGTCAACCAAAGGGGTATACAGTTATTGAATGAATTGGTTAGTTGTCATTTATAAATAAACTAAAACTGAAGATTTGTTACTACATTTTTGCATTGGAACTTATAACAAGAAGGACCCTAAAGTCTATAAGTTATCTCTGAGGGCTGCAAAATGATCTGCTTGAAGGGACCTTTCTAGTGAGATCTTTTTGAAGGCACCTTTCTAGTGAGATTCAGCGCCCAACAGAGACGACTAAACTAAGATCTATTCTCTCTAGTTTGCTCCAACACCACAGGTTTTGTTCAACAATGTCAACGGTTCAATAGTTTTCGGGCGATGTCAGGCGACGAAACTATAGAACTGATACCTGGGCAACTCACAGATACTGCCGAGTCTGTCGCGCTCTACGAGACCGGACCGGAAGGCTACTCACAAACACCAAAGGAACCCAGACTTGTAAAACTATAAGACCGGGCCGGAAGGCTACTCACAAACACCAAAGGAACCCAGACTTGTAAGACTATAAGAACAGACCGGAGGGCTACACACAAACATCAAACTTCTCACAATCTCTGTCCTACGACCCGCATGCACATCATAAGAATAAATCAACTGAGACCGCACAACACAAACTTATAAGAACTACAGTGGATCATCAGTTTCTTTGATAGAGAGAGTCAGCCAAAATGTTAGAAAATCAATGCTGAAATTGAATTTTCCTATTGCGATCGTTCCTTTGGCATGGAATGTCAAGCTCTTCATACAAAAATCGATCGGTGGCAGCTTAGTATAAACCGCACGTCTTCCCATTACGTGGGAAAGCCTCAAGAGGCGGACAACAGATTGAAGGTAGAGCTCTGCTGAAAAACTGATTCAAAGCGTCAACTAAAAATAAGGCTGTCTTTCCACTAAAAGATCGCGATGTGAATACTCCATTGGTGAATTTCATTATTTATCTGCCTCATTGTAAAAGAGTGACCGCTACTGCTCGACGTACTTGTATAGCCAGATATGTTAACAGAGCTCTGAGCGCCGGTCTCTCAACCATGCTCTGGAGTATTACATTGAACTCAGTTTGTGCTAGAACCGAATGAGGGGGCGGAGCGAGATTTCAGCAAACTAATTGTTGAAACTCTAAACGTAATCTTTCACATTCAACCAATAGAATTGGCAGCACATCAGGTGTATGCATCACGGTCGGCTTTTCGCTTAAGGGAACAAAATACCAAATACTCAAGAATTCTCTACTTTTTTTACCGACCTGCAGGGACTGCTGCGTTTCTACTTTGAATACCTTCTCCAACGATTCCCAAATATTTTACACCTCCTAGGAGCATAGAAGTTGGTCAGAATTCACATAACCTTTAAGTGGAACTTCTATTTAGGCTACCAGATCATTGTAGTAAGTCTCAGGCCGAATTCAATGCTATCACGGAAGGTCTCAAGCACATTGGAAACTAATGAAAAGAGATCTTCATATGCAGTGTCAGTCAGGCAGCGATCAAATTCTCAGACACGTTCACTACAAACTCCAAAATCGAGCATGGTTGTCGCAGGTTTCTTCAAGAGATCCCTAAACAATATTCGCCATCCCACTCTTTGAGTCCTTGGTTATTAAAATATAGAGAGTAACTGCAGAATGAAGAAACTTTCTGGCCACTACCAAGCGGATAGAGAAGGCATTGATATGCCTGTTTTTTGTTGTCCACACAAAAAAACAATTCTTGACCCAAACGGAATCCAGAAGGTTGGGTATAACGACCGGTTCATCGTGAGAACTTTTGGATTTTTTCGCCTTTTATGAATTGATTGCCTTATCACAACCTTTAACCAGGCATCTCGCATCCCGATCCCGAAGCAAACTTCATCGGAATGAGTATTATCGGTTATTCTTCCCGCGGTAGACATAACAAAGAAAAATGGGCTACAAACGAAACGCTACATTATAGGACGGCAGAGATAAAGGCTAAGGAGACCTTCCAGGTGATATTGTATAAGCTACAGAAATGATCTAAGCAAAAGTAGATGAAGAGGGCAGCAAGACAAATGACAAAAAACAATGCAAACTCTGAGAAGCTGGCGGACAAAGGCTCGAAAGTTCCAGCGACTTACAGAAGGTTTCAAGACTGGAGCAAACTCATGAAGGACTGTAAAGGTGTTCCAATTGGGGGTTGGTCAATCCGATTCCCCAATCGATGACGATGGCACGTATTTTTCATTGCCCGACTTTGAAGAAGTTTGAAAAGCTGCCCGCTTAAAAGCCAACAAAAAATTTTATTTTTTTCCTTAAGAATCCCTGGTTTTCTAGTTTTCAATTGTTAAAGTGGAAAAATATAAATCGTTGTACTCACGTTTGAAAAAGTTTGCGGACGCGGTGGCGGCAATTGCGTCGGTGGACGCATACCCAATTGTTGTGGTGGTGGTGCTGGACTATAACGTGGTTGATGCATTTCTTTCTCTATGGAAGTTTTCTTGTTGGAGTTTTCAAATTCTAAAAATATATAAATTAAAGTTAATTATTAAAAAAAATCTTAGCGGAAAGATTGGAGAGGTTACTATAGTATTTATTTCTAAGGAAAATATTTCATGTCTTGAAAACTGAGGTTAGCGAGTTTTTGAATGATACCCTTGAATGGCGGTTCTTTACACGCCTTTTACGAGGGGCATGTCCTAGCGCAGCTAAAACTTGAGCTAGGCTTTTGATTGTTATTTTTTTCTGGTGACGACGAGCAGAATAAGCTAGTCTATATTATAAATGTTATTTCATCTGAGGTTCAAAATTATGCTGGTTCGGCTGGTTTGGAACAAAAGGAAAGGGTTATTGGAACAACACACAAATTGTTGTTAAGAGTCGGACGAAAAGTCATTGCAAGCTGAACACATATATGTTGGTTTTATCGTGATTTACATAGAGGGGGGCTAACTCAGCTACAATATTCAGATTACAACTAAAATCTACTACCAAGATTACCCCTACAAATACTTGCTCGGAAAATACGTCTAAAATGTGGTTGTAAAACTGTCATAGGGTATGCACGAGCTCCTCACCAATTTGTGGTAAATACCGGGACACAGTTTATTGTATGGATGGGTTTTATATGGTGCTTTTATTTGTTGTCAGAAATACACTCCAAGAGCTTGACATTCCCTGCTCAGGAGCGACCGCAATTAATTTCTTATTGAAATTAATTTTATGTAATTTTGGATATCGGTCGGACCGGAACTCGAACCCTGCCCAACCGATTGTCAGTATGCAATGCAGATAACTCGGCCACTGCGATTGACGGGAGGAAAGTTAGGAGAGTGGTGTTGCTTAATAAGCTGTGAACAGGAGCACATCCCACCCAGCTAAGAGAGAGTGTATGTAGTGTATTACTTCCTTCCTGATATGACCCTAGATGGCTCTGCTTGAAATAGATGTCTGCGTAGGTATAACAGTATACTTTGTAACTGGCGCATAGATGTCTCACAATGTAGACAACATCATTTCTACCTGAGGCAGAAGAGTTTAAATACCTTTAGACATTTTAGGTCTTAAATGTCGAATGATTTATAAGCTAAACTCGCTAGCTCGCTAACTTCTTCGAGCCTGACGAAATAAATATGAACACATCAAGTAATTTCCAATCGATCAATATTTGTCTTCGATTCACATAAGGACTACTCACAATAGACGACACTTCAGAGAGGATCTTACAAAGGATAGCCTACTAAGGTGTGTAATTTTAAAAGCGGTAGAGTTTTGAAAATTCCTTCCCTCAAACTTACCGCAATAAAAGTGTTCGTTAATTATGGAAGCTCTTCAAATATTCTCGTTGCTGTTCTGAATTTAAACACTGTAACAACTATTTGGAATCGAAAAAAATTCTTCCTGTTCTTATTATTTCTGTTCTCACTTTTTTCTATTTAATTAAATGTAATTAACACTGTGTGGAGAAGTTTTTGATAGGAATTTGTGTTAAATAAGTATTATAATATTTTTTTTTTTGTTTTGAATCAAACTTTTTTTGCTGTAGTAAACTTTTTTTTTTTCTCTTTATATGCAATATTATTTTTTTAATTATTTCAAAAAAATGGATTTTTTCGAAGCTTTAAAAAATCACACTCACTTTTTATGCTGAAAATGATGTGTATTTTTGCCTTTTTATTTCAAAACGATATTTTTAATGTTTCAAATGTTGTTATTTTTTGTTCCAACAATATTGTTTGCTGAAAGAGATTTAATATTATTTATAAAAAATTCTTTTGTTTTGTTTGAGAAATTCTAAAATTAATTCACTCAAATATGCATATTTAAATCACTGCAATGTGTTTTAGTTTGGCTTTTTTTTTTAATTCTTTTTCATATTCCATATTTATTTACTTCCTTGTTTAGCTTTCCACATTTTATTCATTTTTATTTTTAGTTATTTAGCAATTTATTTATTTATTTTGATTTTTGTTTTTTGATTTATTTATTATTTTATTGTTTTATTTATTTATTTTTATATTTTGTTTGTTTATTTACCTACTTTTTATTTCTTTTTCATTTATGCTTTATGTATTTATTCATTTATTTATTTATTTATTTATTTATTTATTTATTTATTTATTTATTTATTTATTTATTTCTTTATTTATTTTTTTATTTATTTATTTATTTATTTATTTATTTATTTATTTATTTATTTATTTATTTATTTATTTATTTATTTATTTATTTATTTATTTACTTATTTATTTACTTATTTATTTACTTATTTACTTACTTATATATTCATTTATTTATTTATTCATTTATGTATTTATTTATTTACTTCCTTATTTAGTTTTCTACATTTTTTTTTCATTTACATTTATTAATCAATTTATTTATTTCCTTTTTATATAACTAGTTATTTAGTTAATTTTTTTTTATTTATGCACTTGTATATTTATTTATTTATTCATTTAATTATTTATTTACTTTTTTGCTTTTTATTTATTTATTTACTTATTTATTTATATTTTTATTATTTATTTATGTATTTATTTATTTATTTATTTATTTATTTATTTATTTATTCATTCATTCATTTATTTATTTATTTACTTATTTAACAATTTTTTTATTTAATTACTTCCTTATTTATTTATTTATTTTATTATTTAATTAGTTCTTTTTTGTAATTATTTATCTATTTATTTATTTATTTATATTTTTGTTTATGTATTTATTAATTTATTTGTTTATTTATTTATTTATAAAACTAATTTATTGTTTGTTTATTTAAACATTTATTTATTATTTTTTATTTATTAAATATTTTATACTTATTTACTTATGTGTTTAGTTATTTATTTATTCATTTATTTATTTTTTTATTATTTATTTATTTTCACTTATTTTATTTAACTATTTATTTATTTTTATTCTATTTATTCTATTCTATTTATTTATTTATTTCTTATAATTTATTTCTTACTTATTTATTAATTTTTTATTCATATTCTATTTATTTCATGTATTTACTTAGATATTTATTTGTTTATTTATTTATTTCACTTTTTAATTCTTCATTTACTTATATATTTACTTACTTATCTATTTATTTATTATTTACTTATTTAGTTATTTATTTATTTATTTTCACTTTTATTTTAATTATTTTATTCTATTTATTTATTTATTTTTTATAATTTATTTCTTACTTATTTATTAATTTTTTATTCATATTCTATTTATTTCATTTATTTACTTAGATATTTATTTGTTTATTTATTGATTTCATTTTTTAATTCTTCATTTATTTATATATTTTTTCCTTTTTGTTATCAATTTATATACTTCTTTTTCATTTCAAAATATTTACTTATATATTTACTTACTTATCTATTTATTTATTATTAACTTATTTATTTATTTATTTCTATTTTATTTAACTATTTATTTTTGTTTTATAATTTATTTCTTATTTATTTCCTTATTTTTTTTATTTATTTAATTAGTTATTTAATTGTTTATTTATTTATTTCCTTTTTTTATTATTCATTTCATTTAATTTATTTACTCATATATTTACTTACTTATCAATTTGTTTTTACTTACTTATTTATTAATTATTGTTAGCTTTCACACTTTTTGCCACACATCGATCGCCTTGATTTTATTAACGTCTATATTTCGTTACCTTACCGTGTATTCTGTTATTAAAATATTATTGCTTGTTTGTCTTATTGTTGTTTTTTTTTTAATTTTTCATGTTTTCCGTTTCTTTCTTCAATGAATTTTCGCAGATTTTCAAATTCAACGCTTTTCGCAATCTTTGTTGTTTTGCACTTTGCCTTTGCGTTATTTTTTTTTTATTTATTTTTTTTTTTTTGTTTATTTCTTTACACTTGTTTTTTGTTTTGTTGTCACTTTTAGTTTGTTACCCCCTCTCTCACTGTGATACTTGTTATCAGTTTCTTTCTACTACGCTTTTTAGCACTTTTGTTTTCTTTTCTTTCCACAATATTCCGCTTGACACTTTGCTTTGCTAACACTTTTTGCGGCTTTTGGCCAACTTTGACGTTATGCACGCAGCAAAAGTTTAAATTTTTTTTCAATTTGAACAAATCTTTGAGGGTTCTTTCAATAGTTGTTCGCTTATATGTGTATGTGTGTGACACTGTTATTGTTTTAATATTTCGTTTTTCACTGCAGCAAACGGGCTGAATAGCAGAACAGCAGAAAAATAATATATGTATGTTTGGTTTTCGAAAGTGACACTGCTGAGCAATTTACAGGTGTTTTTTTAGCGCCTATACACATACATACATACACGTGTAGTATTTTTCGTATATAAATTGTTAGTTTTTTATCGTGGTTAACACTTTGCACCAAAGCGGCTGTACGCTCGGAATACCAACGAGCTGTATTAATATTACTTTTACTTAGCGCATATACACGTACATATGTATGAATGTGTATTTATATAAAATATTAGCATTGATTTAGCATTTAGTTCAAAAGTATAGTTACGTACATATATGTATATATTTTATTATTTATTATTATTTTTTTTTTTTTGTTTTACGAACAGCTGGAAGCGACAGTTTGATTGTTCATGTAAATATATGTATATTTTTATGTTTTTTTTTTTGAGTTAGAGTGATCACTAGTGGCACATTAACTTTACTACAATTTTTACATAATCACTATATTTAGCCAATTTTATTTTGTTTATGTTCTTCACTGAACAATTAGCATGCTGCTTGCAAAAATAAGCAGATTTTTGGTTGTTGTTGTTGCTATGGTTATTTTCTATTGCTTTCAAGAAGTCTATCGATATTTTTGCATTTGTTAACTACTAGAAGAAGGAAGCCTTAATGCACTTGCGGCACATTATCATCAATAGATATATATGTATGTATATATAACATATATACATATGTATGCACGTAGTATGTAGTGTTAGTGTGTTTATGCTAAAAATAGCCAATTACACAAAAAATCGTCGGCATAGATTACAAAAAGTTGCATATGTGTGTGTTGTTGTTGTTTTTGTTGATAAATAATTTGCAGCCGTAGAGTTTGTAAACATTTAATTAATATGTGTATATGTATGGAAGTAGGTTACTGTTTTTAAATATATGCATTTGTATATAATGTTTTTGCTTTTTTTTAATTTAAAGTTTTTTCAAGTTTTTATTTTTATTTAAATTTTTATACTGGAAAATTTCACTCAATCCACTTGCGAAAGGCACACGAAACAGTCAGTCTGCCGGTTCCGGTATGTTTAACGCCCACAAAATATTAGTTCACTATTTATTTTTTCAATATTTATGCTTTGATATTTAATTTCTGTTTTTATGTTTATAAAACTTGTTAATGCACTTTACTTGTTTTTTTGAATTTAATTTACTTTTATTAAATTTTAAAATTTTTTTTTAATATATTTTTTTTTATTTATTTTTCTTGGAGCACAAAAAGTCGTAGTATTTGTTGTTTTTCTTTAAATTAAAATCTATTTTAATCGTTTATCCTTTTCACTTTTATTTTCCATGCGTGCGAGTTTTCTTGCTAAGAATGTTAATGAACTATAATTAAAAAATAATATTCATATACATACATATAACATATATATTTATAGCAAATATTTATATGTATGCACATATATGAATAGTATATTGATGGCAAAACTTGGGAGCGTCACAGTAAATGACGCTTAAAGCACACAGATTTATTAAAAGTGACCACCATTACATTATGGCCGGCTCGTCCTCCACCCAAAACGCATACATACACGTATGTATGTATGTACCTATGCGCTCGTATGTGGCAGCATATTCGCAAATAAGAACGTGTAGGCAACTTGGTAACAAATCAAAAACATAAAAATAAAAATAAGTAAAAAGGCACTAAGTCCACAATGAGCTACAACTTTTAGCCCAAAGCACGTTTAGTTTAAATTGAAAGTGAAGAAAATAATCACATTTCCAATGAATCGCTATTTATTAGCACGCGCAACTTCATTTTACATTCCCACCATAAATATTTCAATTTCAAGTCAGTTTTTCCTTTGATTTTGTTCATTCCCGTTCTTGGAATCGCTTGAACCAAATTTTTAGTTGATTATGTTTGAAAAATTACTTAAAAATCTTTTGTATTCTTTTAAAGAATATTTTGATTGAATATTTATTTTTTTTATGCTTCTTTTAACTGCTTAGTCATTCACAATAGTGAATAATTTCCGTTGTAATTTCAAATCACAGTTCTTGGTATGGCCCAAGGTGAGAATAGTTTGACAATTTCATTTTAAATTGGGAATCTAAATTATTGAGGTCGATGATGTCTAGTTTTGAAACCTTCTTATAGATTTATCTAGCATTTCCGTTGTCGGCCAGCTCCTTCTGCTCTGCATTTCTGCCTCTCTCTCTCTTTTTATCTACAACTGCGTTGCGCTTGCCTCCTCTACTCACAGCATATCGACCTTGTCAAAAGCAAATAGTTTCATTGGCACCTATACGTAAGGATCTACTCCACTATACCGTATTGTTCTTAGAGAACAGTAAGGCAAATCGA